AGTTAACTGTCTTCCTAGTAGCTGGTACAGTGCTATGTTTTGAGTTCAGTATCTGAAGAATGTTGATAACACTGATGTTTTCAGTTGTTGCTCAGTAGTGTTTAGACTACAGTCAAGGATTTTTCAGCTTCTCATGCCCAGCCAGGGCACCTGACCCAAACTGGCCAACAGAGCATTCCATACCATGGGACGTCCCATCTAGTTTAGGAACTGGGAAGTGGGGGGGGCAGGGTTTTCGCCGCTTGGGGACTGGCTGGGGGGCGGGCGGCGGGTGGTGAGCAATTGCCCTGCGCATCATTTGTACATTTCAATCCTTTTATTACTACTGTTGTCATTTTATTAGTGTTATCATTATCATTATTAGTTTCTTCTTTTCTGTTCTATTAAATCGTTCTTATCTCAACCCAGGAGTTTTACTTCTTTTCCTGATTTTCTCCCCCATCCCACTGGATGGGGGGGGAGTGAGTGAGCGGCTGCGTGGTGCTTAGTTGCTGGCTGGGGTTAAACCATGACATGCTGCATCATCTACCCTTGCTAGGTAACATGATGGCATCTATTTATGCATCTAAAAAGCGCCTGCACAGAAACTCTTTCATATTTCATAAATTCCAAGTGTTTCACAGCTGATTTCCCATTACATATGAGAAAGCTTTAGATAAGACCACCTTCACAACACAAGGCAATGGAGAACTCCACGCTCAGGCTTTGTGCATCTTACAGGGACTCCTGGCCACAGCAGTGTATTTCATTTCCCAGCTTGTATAGGGAAATAAATATATATTGGACTCCTTCTAGAATAACCTTACACCCAACTGCCAGCTTTGCAAGTGTAAAAATACTATGTGTGTGCTCAGTAAGTGATTTTCAAAGGCTCTAACCTCCCATAAATGAAATCCAGATTCCTCAGAACTAAGCAGAGGTGGAAGGCTAGGCCTATGGCACATGTTTGTTTTTAACCTTGCCTGTTTGAGCAGCAGGCCAACTCAAAGAAAGAGCAGAATAGATTTTTTTTTATAATAGAAGAAATTTCTCTACAATTTTTTTTTTTATTATTCCACATGAAAAACAGATGATTTGCCCCCCTGACAAAATTAAAAAATGAAGAACTTCAAACAGAGACCATACATAAAGAATTTCACCCCCACATGTCCAGTTGAGGAGGTTACCCCTGAAAACCTTGCATTTGGTGAACTCAGTGAAGAAATACACCAACTCCTCTGGTGAAACACCAAGTACTGTTTTGCAGCTTCTGTGGAGGTGGGTAATGGGTCTGCAAAATATCCTCTCTGTTCTACTAGAGATAAGTCTGTTGTGACAAATATAGCAAGAAGTGGCACAAATCAGAGGAGCCCATAGCCCCCCCCCCCCCCCCCAGCCTTCATTGTCATGGAAAATCCACGCACTAGAATACAGTTCCCTTCAAGATCCAGAGCAGCAACTAACACATCATGGGGGAACAGTGACTGAGGCCATCATGAAAATCAAACACTCTAGTGTAAAATAATGCTGGGTCCTTACTCCACACACTGAACAGACAATCCTGACGCTTTTGAAGCCCAATCTACCAAACAGTCGAGGGGACAAATAAAGGGAAGAAGAAGTTATATGCTGTTCAAATCTGATGGAAGAGATTGACTTAGCCTTTCTGCTGCAAATAAATGATGCCCAATAACATTTAAAATACTGTATAAAATAATCAGGGTAACATGGAGTTATCCTGCAGAAATCTTTCAGGGTAATTCAAATTTAGTGGGCACAGTTGACGGTTGGACTCAATGATCTTAAAGGTCTTTTCCAACCTAAATTATTCTATGAATCAGAGTTAAAATTCAAAGCTAATATTGACTACTTTTAGAGATGAATACACAAGATTATTGGCTTGGGATTTAAGAGTGACGACAGCAACAAAAAGTGTTTTGCCTCAGTTTCTCCATCAATAAAATGCAAATAGTGGTATATGCCCCTTTTCAGGAATTTTTGAAAGATCCATGAATAAGAAGCACTACTCCAAGAACTACCACCCATATCGACAGATGAAATGAATTCAAAATCCTCCTCAAGGATCAATGAAAAGAGAATTCAAAGTAATCAGATCTTATGTAGGGGTAATAAGCTTTAAAAACAGCACAACCTGAATACAGATGAGAATCTAATTTAAGTGTCAGCAGGGTTCAAAATAAAAATGCATTTACCATTGAGAATCCATGCAAATAGCCCGCCTATAAGACTGGCTTGGGTGACATAAAACTGCGTGCCAGGAATAAATAAATGCTTCCTTCCCTAGGGAGCAGCAGGGTAGGGTCTTCACACCGACACGGGCCTTGGGTAAGGATAACAATCCTGCTACCATCACCCCTAATTTTGCATCCACAATTTTGACAGTGCTGGTGGCCTGAAAGCACCTCAGCATAGGTACAGCCGGAGTACCACCTGCCCAGGCTTGCCTGGCTCCGGCTGGGAGACACTTGCCACCTCAAGTGGGTTTTGGTTTTTTTCTTCATTATTTTCTACTCGATGGAGCCCTCCCTTGAGGCCGGGCCTGTGCGGTCACCCTACAGCCTCCTTCTTCCCCTGAGGTGCTGACCCTGGCCTCGCCAGGGGGAAGCAGCCACCTCCGGGGGCCCGCAGGGAACACGGAGCAGCGCCTGGTCCCAGCAGCAGCCACCCCCTCAGGAAAAACCTCCTCCACACTGCCGCCCTTTCAACGCAGCCTGTGCCGCCGGTGCCGCCATTTTGGGCCTCTGGGGCTAACGGTCGTGCCCTCCCTCAGGTGGCAGCCGCGGCCGGGCGCGAGGCGGCGGCTCTCCCTCGTCGCCGGTGAGGCGGGAGGGGACAGGGAGCAGCCCCCGGCGACCGCCATCACCCTTCGCCGCTGTGCGAGGTTTCCCGGTGGGGGCAGGCGGGGCCGGGG